CTCAGTACTCTGCACCTGTCCATCTCAAACACAGGTGCTCACACATGGACAAGGACATCAAGGATGCCATGAACGATGTGAATGTGCACACGTGCGAGTACTACACTGATTCCAAGTCGTGGAAGGCATCTCTCCCAGATGATTCCACATTGGAGAGTGTGTTGGCAAAGGCCAAGGAGACACTGGCAGCATGCAATGGTGGGAAAGTGAAGGCCTCCATGGAGCACTTGTCCAAGGACTGGCTGGCCCATTGAACAGCTGTCATTGAACTGTCATTCATATGTTTCCCAACAATACCCAATGACTGTTATGTCACGTCACACATGTGCACTGCACCACTCATACAGTGCAGTTGTGGTTGGGATAAGATCAGGTTGATTTGAGCAGTTGCTTCCATGCAACCTTGAAGCCTGTTAGGAGAACATGTGTGTGTGTGTGTGTGTGTGTGTGGGAATTTTGAATATCTGATGTGCTTGATATGTCTGTGCAACTTTATTTCACCTGCCCATACCGGCAGGTGATGAAGCTCGCCAAAACCACCAAGGAGAGCTTGGAGAAGGTCGATGCTTTGCAGTGCAGGTTCAGCGAATTTGATGGTGGTGAGGCAATTCTTCCAAAGGTCAGAGCCCAGTTCTTTGAGTCAGCCATCAGCTGGTCAATCATGGGGTTCAAGGCTGTAAAGGATTGCAAGGATGCAGCAAGGCAACAGAAGGCCAAAGCTGTTCTGGTGGACCAAATGACTATACTTGCCAGTGAGACTGATGGGCTTCAAGAGGGCATGGTTCACCCTGTCCTGCTGTCTGCGGCTCGTGAATACATGGAGTGATAAAATAAAATCTTAGGACTGGACACCTGCAATGTATGTTTACCGAGCTTGAAATGAACCATGAGATATTGCATTGTAGACAAGGTTTGTTTTTTTTTTGTAGTTTGTTTTTTTTGTTTGTTTCCAGGTAGGTATGGCGCCACGAGCTGCAGACACATACAACAGGTTCTTTGCTGTGCGAGCTTGGTCACATATTTCTGAACTGACAAACACATGGCACATACAACCTTACATTGTTCAGTAAGGTAAAGGTTGGTCAGGTGAATAGGGACAAACCCATTGTGAATCATGTTGTGCCGTTTCACAATGAACTGAATGAACCTAGCAAACCTAGACTCCAGCAGTAGCAAACAACTGTGGAGTCCTTTTGTGGACCAAGTGTTTTGACGGTGGCAGTTCAGCAACCATATGCTGGACATAGACCCCATATGGCTTCGAGCTTAGAGGCTTAGGCTTAGAGTTACAGGAGGCTTACAATCGCTGGATCTTGCGGTCAGAGCGTGGGAATCAAGGGAGTTCGATGTCTTGTGGATGCAGTGCATTGGACTTGGATGTCAACTGTTAAACTACTGTAAGCCTTCATTTGTTCATGTTCTGAGAAACCACTGAGAGACACTGCAGGGATGGTGCATGAACTGTGCACTCAAGAGACTCCACATGAAGCTTGATGTTTGAATGTTCAAATCTTGAATACGTTGAGTAACATCTACTATAACTGTATACTATATACATACATACACTTACACTGGGCACAGTGCACTTGCTGTGTGTGTGTTCGTTTTTTCTGGGAGAAAACTGCCCTGTGGCCAGGCAGAGTGTGACTTGAACTGAGCCATGCTGACCTTCACTAGCAAAAAAAGAAAAGCTGGTCTGGAAGGGTCGGGAAGCTTCACTTCACCTGACTTCAGTGAACTTCATTTTGTTTTTGCTTGGAGCTAGCTGCCAGCTGGCAGCATTGGCCAGCCGTTTTTGGACAAGATGGCTAGGGGTGGCTAATGGGTCATTGACATGTAACGTAACTGCTTTGATAGCTCGATTGGACAGCAGAACCTAAGTGCCCGTTGGAGATCAAATCTGGCTGCTACCTGAGTTGCCAGAACTTAGAGTCAGACTTCTTAGTTGTGGGCAAGTAGGAATGGTGGAAGAGTCTTGCACAGCTGCTTTGAGTGGGGCCGCTGCTGATGCAAATGTTTCAATTCCACCATGGGTGGCGCAGGAAACTGATGCTCACACGTGCCAGGAACTGCAGGGCATATTGAAATGTGTCCATGAAATTTTGACAGCCCGTTGGGGCAGTGAGCTGTCCTTGCAGCTTGCTAGGGTGTTGATTTTTTTCTTGAGCCGGAGGAGGGAACTACAGTGATGGCTTGGTTGATGAATGTGGACCCTGAAACCACTCCAGAGCTCAAACGCATTTTGTTGGATGAACATGATGAAGCAAAAGCTTTGTCAATGATTTGGCTCGGGCTTTCCCAGTTGCGATAGATAGTAGAAAGGTTTCTGACTGTGTGGGGAGTTTGCGTGAAAACAGACTTCAAGTGAGCGCCCGTGCTTGAATTGCCCCTGAGTTCATTTCCTGTTCACTCCCAATGGTATCCACAGGTGGGCCCCCTAGTACTGAGTACTGAGTAACTGACTGCGATGATGATTCTGAGTGTAACTAATTATATGAATGATTAGATTAGATTAGATGATTAGATTAAATATTAATTAATTGTTAACTATGTAACTGTTTAATTTGCTGATCATGTTTTTCTGCCACTCTCTCTCTCTCTCTTTGTCCCTTTCACTCTGTGTGTTGTTTCTTTGTTTTCACCGCTGCCCTTTTGGGTGACCTTTTGTTTTAAATGTGGTTGCTATGTGCTAAATCTATCACATATTACTTAACTAGTAATGTTAAGTTTAGTAAGTTTAGTAAAGTAATAAATACTTACGTAAGTAAGATATCATCCATTCATTATGCCTATGCCTATGCTATTATCATGCTTATGACATGACAGAACTTATGACATGTTTGTAATGATCTATTGAACCTAATAGCAGCTACTTAGCTATTTTTTTCTCTTTTGAGACTCATTCCGTTATTTGGAACGTGGAATATTTGGAACGTGGAATAGTGACTGGTGAATATGAATTTAGTTACCTAGTATTGTAACAGAGTAGTTATGAAATGGTGACGTCATGGATTGGTTTAGTTAATTTTGGTGTTTTGTGAGTGTTCACTTAGTTAGTTAGTTATTTCATTTAACCGCCAAAGAAACTAGTAACTTCGACTTTAGTCGAGTCTAGTCGAGTCTAGTCATAGTCGCTAGTCATCATTCAAAACATTAATCAGTGACTCCCAATGGTGGCCCTTGCCTCTTCAATTTTACACAATTTCACCATTGTTCCTCCTCTACCTATCCTATCAGTCCTTCTCTCTCTCTCTCTCACTGTATCTCGTCCTTTTCAGTTTACATAGTGTACTTAAAGTATTTGCATGGTTTTGTGTGGTTTATATCTGACTATTTAATGTTTCATATTTTGTTCTGGTTAATGATTATTGAAGACATGATTAGGATTTGATTGTTACTAGTTGATTAGTGGATTAGTTCTATTGAATTGTGATTTAGTTACTTAGTAATTTGTTCTTTTTCAAAATATATATATCTGATCTATCTGTTCCTCTCCTTTTATCTACTTAATCTACTTCACTGTCACCATGTGTCTCCCAATTCTGTCACTATTTGAGGCTTGCTAGACTTTTGTGTGTCTACTCAGTATGAAACCACCTTTGACACGGCTCTCATACTCTCTTTGAATCATTTCTTGCAAATTTCTTGCAATATTCTTGCAGTTTCCGCTTGCAACTTTTTTGCAATTTTGAAAACAAAATAATTATTTGATAGATATGGCCTGTGGCCACCATTGGGAGTCTTAAGTATATCTAAAGGCAGCTAGTGAGCTTGTCTAGATCACGAGTCAACTTTGAAAAGATGTTGCATGATGGATGTGGAAAGATTGGGAGCATTAGATCGAACAACCCCTATTTTGCCCAGATCATCGACAATAGTCAGAGTTGCCAATGCCTCCAAGAGGATCTCCAAGCCCTGACCATAAAGGATTCTGGCTTTTACTCAATTCCCGTTGCAAGGCGCATCGTGAAAAGAGTAAGGAAGTGGTGCGCATTGGTGGACGAAGGCCAGACGGGTCCTGGGGCCCGAAGCGACTGACTTTCGAAAGCGAGAATTTGTGAGTGCATGAGACTTCTTGAACTGAGACGAAACGTCTTGAACTGTTGCATCGTCTTTGCATGAGTTGGAGCTTAACGTTCTTTTGGATTTTCGCATGTATATTTGTTTGATCAACTTTGTGGAAAGGATAGTTTTGGAGTTGGAAAGGGGATATTTTTGCTCCACAAACTCAGGGGTTCTCGGTGAGCCTTTTGTGTCCGAGAGAGAGCTGACATGGACTTGGTGACGATCCTCCTAGCAATGTTCATTGCTCAATGGATGGTTTTGGTGGCACTCTCGGCAGTTGTATGCTGCAGGGCGGGAAGCGCCCGTGGTCGAAGCCGGGGAAGAGGAAGATCAAGGTCCCGTTCTGGATCGAGGTCGAGGCGATCATCTCCGCAGAGGGTTGCGCACGCCCCGGCACAAACGCAGTTTCGCCGAGGTTTCGCACATCCGACACGCACGATCTCCGCAGAGGGTTGACGTTCGTGATGGTCCGCCGGGCCTGCCCCCCGCTTTAAGAGAGAAAGAATAAAGAAGAGAGATGTGAAGATGTGAGTGAAGATGTGAGATGTGAGAAGATGTGAGAGAAGATGTGAGATATGAGAAGATGTGAGAAGATGTGGGATGTGAGAAGATGTCAGATGTGAGAAGATGTGAGAGAAGATGTGAGTATGAGAAAATGTGCGAAGATGTGAGAAGATGTGAGAGAAGATGTGAAGTGTGAGAAGATGTCAGATTTGAAGATCTTTTATATGTAGATCTATAGTTACACCTCCTTCTTTTTGAAGAACTCTTCGCTCAGGCGCTCTCGGGAAAAAAGGCTTTTCACATGCTCAGTGGCGGAGTCCATTTTTCATGTGCTTCATTCCGTTTAATGTTTTAAGCTTCCTTGGAGACATGCAACATGTTGGTGCCAACCAGCAGCATGTTCAGCAAACCCGGCTTTGTCGTCATCTTAGGAAGGGCTACCCACCCACTCCAGGCGGAGAGCTCGGCGAAGCAAGCGCCGGCAGTTTACGGCTGACTGGTTAAATGATTACTAGTAGCTTCTCGTTACTAGTAGTATTGGTCTCCACATTAGTAGCAATGGCCTCCAACCTAATAGCGATGGCCTCCACCCAGTAGTTTCTTGTTACTAGTAGTAACGGCCTCCACCCCGTAGCAATGGTTTCCAACCTAATACCGATGGCCTCCACCTAATAGCTTCTTGTTACCAGTAAGGCGCCTATTTCTAAATGGTCGTGGGTTCAATGCAAGTGGCTCAGCCCCCCCAAAATGGGTGTGCGCACATGGTTCCAATTTGTTTTTCTTTTTGTGCATACTATACTATATTTCAAAAAAAAGGTGGAAATCATCAGTTGTCAATGACTAACATCATATCTCTGTCAAATCTCCTGATTCTATAACCGTGGTGGTGGAGAAAATGTTTTTCATTGAATCATGCATGTTTAAATCATCTCAGACCATCGTGGTTGAGAACTTTCCAGCAGTTTTCACATGTTTTCGCTTTGAAAACCGGGTCCGGATTTTTCGCTCGGCGCAGACATGTCCGCGGTCTCCTCTCCTCCAGCGCCACCGTCGCTGCCCAACAAGTCGTCCACGGGAAGCCTTGGCTCGCCGATCAAGATGTCGGCAGTAGAGCTGTTGCCACCGGGCACAACAACGAAGAGTCAGAACAGCAGCAGCTGGGCTGCAGATCGGGTGTGAACACAAACAGTCAGGGGAAAATTCATGCTGGATGTGGAGAATCAATGTGGGGGTGCAGGTTGATTGGAAGACTCAGGAACTTAGAGCTCGTCGAGAGGCAAGCCTTCCCGGTTAAGATACCCCGGTTGCCACCGGATTTTTCACACTTCGACGTTGACTCCATCAGTTCTGAACCGACAGCCGAGGCCGACAGCCAAGTCCGATGGCGAGCCCTCGGGGAGAGGTGGAAAAGGAGAAGTCCGGTGCCGAGTCCCTTGGTGGAATGTTTCAGGGGGGGACGTCGGCCGGAAGGCATTAAATGACATCCATTGACATCCAAATGCTTGGGGGATTGCACCGTCATATTGAGGGGGTCATGGGATCTCAAATCCCAAAGTTTTGAGGGGCTATGTTGGGGGGTTGAAAACCGGTTGAAGCAAGCACTTTGGCTTCATCCGATCCTCTGTGAGGCAATGATGTTACCGAGGTTGAGGTTGAGGGGAGTGTTGATCACCCACTGGGGAGTCTGATGCAACAAGTCCAGATGGCGCTTCAACACAGAGTCCAACCAAAACAGGACACGAAAAGGACCGGTGAAACCCTTGGGTCTTCTCGTTTGGGGGGTCGCCGGGTTTCGTGGGTTTTTCGGGACGAGAGTTGGGCAAAGGTGCTCAAGTGGTGCAGGAAAAAACAAAAAACAGAACGAGGCACAGCTATATAGTTAGAAGATGTCAGAAGTATAGTCAGACCTTACTGAGGGATGATCATGTGAGGGTATTTGAGCCGTTTTACTGTTTGCCAAATTGGCCAAGAGGCTGTGAAGCAAGCAGCTGTATCAATCAGGTTTCATGCCAGTAGACCTATGTTTACCTACTATCGGATTAGAAGCTATCATGACCATGCCAACACTTGTACTGGACCACATCATAGGCATGCATAATGAAACATGGTTTCCGTCCAGCCTTTTTTCCACCCAACTTGGACCTGTTCCAGCAATTAGTTGGCCCGCTGCCCAATATAAATAAGTTGATATATTGTTAATATATAAACACAAGAGTTGTTGCGTCCTTGTGGTCGATGAATGCGAGTGAATAGCCAGTTGACCCTCAAACAACCCCGACAAGTCCAAAGACTGCGTCCTTCACTTTCTTGAGTAGTGCTTCTGATCAGCTCCAGTAAACTGAGGTCTGTGACCTGTAGGGCACTATTAATAGACTATACCCGATCGACCAAACCCTTGTAAGGCGGACAGGCTTGCATTGATGAGTCATAAGCTACCCATTTGTTGTGAAAAGGGTGTCTTGTTGTCAACGTGCACAACAGATTCCCTGTGATGCACGGATGGACGCGACTTCGTTCGTGCCGTGAAACATGGGACATGACATGACATGACCCTTCTAAAACAGGTTGCGACGGCGCACATCTTCCTTCTGGGACGAACTGGTCAACTCCAGGTAGTTGATGAACCCGGTGAGGTTGTTCAGTTGCTCCAGCACCTGCGATCTTGAATATCCTTTCAACAGCTATATGGCTGTGGGTCAAACTCACCCTGGTTTCTCCCCGCCAAAATGAAACAGAATAGACTATGCAGACATGGTCAACCTACGAGGGTTTTCAGTCGCAGGTGCCTGAACCCACAGCCCTATCGTGTGGAATGATCCGCCCCAGACTGGGTGCTCCGGCGACTCGTCACGAGATCGCCTTCGAATCGGGCCTTCGCTTCTCTCAACCTAATGGCGACCCTTTCTTCGACGGCGAAGTCGATCAAGGCGGTCTCTGAGAAAGAAGACACCGGCAACCAGCTTTCTCTAGCAGCTAGCATGTACCCTCCAGTAAACCAGTAGTAACACTGTCCCACCCATGCATGGTCTTTGCTGAGCAGCTCGTCTTGCTCTTCCTGTGCCTCCGCTCAGGTTGACTCCTCAGGAGCTGACGGCGACCTGGCAGGTGGCCACGGCCGAGGCCAAGGACGGTGACGGAGACGCGCGGAACGGCGGAACGCGAGTCAAAGGGATCAGGTGCTATACTTGGGGGATCTTGGGGGTTTGGTACTTGAGGCTTCTGTGGGGACCTTGCAAAGCAATGGATGTGGGGGGTCTCCCTTTTCGAGACCTGGGACCTGATCAAGGGAACTTTCTCTACTTCAGTCGCCCAAATATCGTCAAATTGGACTTCTAATGGAAGACGTGGGTCCAAGCACCATAGGTCCGGGCTTCCAAGCCATAGGAGTCTATATGAGTCTATTGCGGGATTCATACCTTCAAGGATTGGACCTCTGGGACTGTTTCTGGACTGTTGTTGTCCAAATTTGTCCAAGCAAGTTGTTGGGAAGCTACGGAGAAAGTGACATAGCAGGAGCATGGATTAACCCAGAACAAGGTTGCAGGTCTTTCCCAGTGACATAGAATAAGATCCCAAACGGCTGAGGTCACTTATAGATGTTTGAGAAGGCCACTTACCTTATCACAGGTCCTTCAGGTCCTTTGTTTGGACCTTCCCTATGACATTCTTTCAGGGATTGGAAGATCTAAGTTCGTGTGAGCAACAATATGCTGGTAAAACTGATGAATCCCACAGCAAGACATATCATTTCATCAAGTTTCACCAAGTTAAAGCAGCGGATGTTCCTACCGTAAAAACCATCAAATCCCAGAAGTTCATCCCCTGACAACACCTCGAACCCCGCGACCGGCAGGACGGCGACCTCGAAGCCGCGCGCAGGGAGAACCGCGCCTGGCGCTTGATGCACATGGCTCCTCGGCCAAGGCCAATCGATCGAAAGGCCTCCACCGAGCATAGCGTCCTTGCACCAGGGGTGAGGTGAAGATCGTCTGACCAAATCGAATTGTTGAACTGTTGGTCAAGTTCAGTGGATGCGAATGCCAAAACTGCATTGGATTCGGATCCCCTTGGCCCGTCATCAGCGTCCGTCCATCCGTCGAAACGTGTTTCAGTCCGTCGAGAGGTGGAGGTTGGAGGTCCCGGGAAACCGGTTCACCAGGCACCTGAGCCCCAAGAGCTTGTCCACTGACCCAAAAAGGACGGGCATGGGAGTCCCGACCCCCGGTTCACGAACGACCAGCGATCCAAGAATGGGTAAGCGGCTCATGTGTTCACCCACATGAGTCACATTGAGTTCCGAATCGAAGGGTGATACCTGGAGTGTCACGTAATTACCTCGGAAAATGGAGACAGTCGTACTGTTTTGATAGTGTCATGTCCCAAGGTATTTTGGAGGGTCCAGGTATGTTGAGGGGGTATGCTAGAGTGAAGGGTCTCGCTGAAAACTCGTAGAGACACCAGAAACAGCCATGGCAGATGAGCATCAAACGCATGCTTCACCCCCAAGCCTTTCTGGGATCTTGGGTAATTAGTCCAGTGCCCATCCAATCCAGGACGGCTCAGCCACAGATGTTTTGAGCGCCAATGGTTCCGCCCAGGAAAAGACTTCCGACAAGTCGGACAAGGGGGATTCCTCGCCGGATGCTGGGTCTTGACATACCTGAGCCGGAAGCTGTATAGATGACATACGATGACATCCATTGGTGGTCAAACCTGTCAAGAGGTTGATGTATTTCTTGAGGGACGAAGAAGCCCCTTTTTGAAGAGAATGTTCTTGTTACCTCTCATATTTTTTCATCTTTTTTGAGAAAACAAGAGGATTTGAAGACTCCAGAGCCTCCATTGGCTTGTAGACTCTTCGGCAAATAGGGATTCGATGTTGCCTCCTTCTGAACTTCTTCGAAGATGTTAGGGCTCCGACTAGCTTCTGAGAAAGGACCTACTAGGTAGGATTTGGGCGATCAAAGACTTGGATACACTCCCTGGAACTAACATGAAATAATCAACCACTGTTTGTAACAATTGTAATATTTTGTAATGTTTGTAGAGGACTATCCACGTATATAACCATGTTGATCATGTCGAACCTCGAAGTCAGGGCGTCGACCCCTTGGTGACTGGAACAGCATTGTTTTGCAATCATTGTTCACCTCCTGCATATTGAGGAGGGCAGAACTCATGGCCATGAGAAGAATGTTTATTCCAACACGCACATGGCAAATGGCTGTGCCAACCAACAATGTTGCTGCTCACGGCCGTGGTTCTCCGTTTCACACGGCAAGGAGTGTTTTCGTGTGGGGCAAAGAGGGGCAAAGATGGAAAGAGGACAACGAAGGGAGTTGGTGATGCCTCAAGAGTCGGTGATGTTTGATCAGAGCGGTCTCGCCCCAGATGATCGTTGACCAGCGTTTTGTATGGACGTTTGGGTGCCCGTTCGACCGGGCCACGCTGCCACGAGGCAAGTCACGAGGTCACGTAATGGTTTTCTTTCCCTACAGGTCAAGGACCTCATTTGACTCAAGCTGGTCATGCAAAACCAGTACTCAGTGAGGTCGTTTGGACCAGGTTTAACTTGGCCCTTGGACTTGTAGGGTTTGGGAGATTGTTGGAGGGAGGGGAACAAAGTTGAACACGTTGCAAGTTGATGCATAGTGGATCAGCATGGCCTGAGCTTTGAAAAGCAAAGTGGCTGTCTCAGTTTGATCCATCGTCCTTCTGAGCTTTTTTTAGCACCCACCAGAATCGATTGAGGAACAGAGTCTGGAACAGAATCTCCCGTGTACAGAGTGATTTTGAGATTCTGAGTCCAGGTAAGGATGACGACTTGCCTGCTCAGCAGTCGAGCAGTCGAAAACAGCCATAGCGACTCCCCACGCAAATGCAGAGGGCCATGCATCATGCAGTGCCATGCAGAAGCCTGCCTTTTCCCACATTCAAATTCGGTTTCATAATGACACCCCAATATATTCATTCAGGATCACGCTATACAAGTATGAACACTGGGGGTTAACCAACAAGGAGCTCTTGAACACCCTTGAACTATGCTTCAAGAAGGTCTGGAAGATGACTGGTCCTGATATCTTTACTGATGTCATCCCTCCAACCATGTGGCAAAATTAAACAGTTATATAGATACTGTAGCATTTGGCACCATCCAACACGAAAGGACATGTTCCATATAGTTCAAGATGACTTAAGCCACTTACTCATCGGGAGACCTTGGGGATGACCTTCCCAGTTTGTTTTTGCCTTAATTTGTAAATTCAACCTCTCCTAGCACACTGGAATAGGTGCCGATTTTGTAACCTGACACTTTGCTACACACTCCAGGCTTCTCCAGGCTCTTCCAGACTCTTATAGGATCCACATGTTTCTGGGTCACCAGCGAGACCTTTCCCGTGCACGACATGTCCGGGCCCGGACTGAGCTGGTCGCAGAGCTTGCTCGAGTCCGGGACAGGATGGGACAGGGGGTTCGAGTACTGGTGCTTTGGGAGACCCTTCTTTCTCGCTTTGGATGCCAGGAGTCACGCAGGGGTGGTGTTTAGTCCCATCCAGTGAGTGGATCATAGACACCCCTAACCTCCTAAGCACCCCAGTAAGCACCCCTTTGTAACTGCTGGTAAACTGGTCTCTGTTCCAAAGCAACACCAGGAGCTTGCCCTGGCGGGTCACTCGTCCGATCCACAAGACCTGAGCTACACTCGCAAAAACGACTGGATCGACCTGCCCTGGCGACACGACCTGTCTGGGTCTGGATGCCGCCCCAGAGACCCCCGCAGCCACTCACCCCTGGCCGTTTCGGCCGTCGGACTCGGTCAGGTCTTGAAAGGTTCAGCCAGCCGCAACCCGTCGAACTTGCAGAGATCAACTCAAATCAATCCAAATAATATTTTGTTTTTCACCTAACCCCAAAAGCAATCATATTTGGGTTAGATGAAAAACCTTGCAAATCATGTTTAGTTCTTCTGGTTAGATGAACTATAGTTGGTTAAATTGGCACCTAACCAACTAAATATCAACCAGTCGTTCCACCCCAAATCACCCCAATATCGCCCACCCGGAACGCAGCGGAACGACGGAGACGTCCGGTTCGTTTCCGCCGACGGAGGTTCCCCCCACGGTCGCGACACCACCGGCTAAGGCTAGGTCAGCGAAGTGGCAGGTGCACAGCATCAGCGACGTGGGGAGGGGAGGCTGAGGGGATTGTTCATCAAATCCCAAGAACACAATCCATGAGCCTGGAACATGAGCCACGTGGACGAGCATTTTCGAGTGAGTCACGTGGGAGGACCCTGGAGGGAAGTCGATGATGCAGACAAGGTAATCCCCAACATTCCATGTTATGGGCAATTCACCCACAGGGACAGAAACATCTCGACCCCAACAATGTGTGTATAGACTAGTATAGACATGTATAGACAGTTATATACAATATGTTTACCCCTGATAATCCATGTATTGGAATCTTAGTATATTTACGTAGCTAGATTGACCTTAATAGACTAATAGAAAACACTTAAAACACAAGACATCAAAATACATGTAAGCAATCCAGCCCCACGGATTGTCCAAAAACAATCGTGGAAGATCATGAGGATTGGGATTTATCTTTTGTATTTTGATGGTGGAGCAGTTCACCCAAAGAAGCTGCTTTGGACCTTGGACAGTGGATTTGTTGAAGATCTTGGGACAGGAGGTCTCCCTATTTCATGGCAACATCTCTCAAAATCGCTCTTTCATGGGATCGGCATGAGGGTCGGTGACGATGGCAACTTCCTTCTTTCCCTTGGCAACTTCTTTCCAAACTGATCCACTCTGCCGAACTGTGCTGACACGTTCGTTCAAATGTTCCACTTTGCCTCGCGGCTTTGGTGTGGATGTGGATGATGGTCCTGAGGATGGTGGATGATGTCCCAGACGTGACAAGCACTGGAATATATGCCCATGCAGGTCTACCCATGCAGGGTCTACCACCCCAAGCCGTTTCTCAGCAGGTTCCACCGTACGTGTCTGGGTGTGGACCTTTGATCTCCGATTCGGGTGGTGAAGCAAGGTAGAGGTCAACACCTAAACGGTGCTTTTTCTACGGTAATAAAAAAGGTTGTGATATGACGATGTGATCTTGGGGTGCAGAATATGGTACAGACATGTACAGACCCCCAGAATCGGGGCTCAGATGTCAGCTTCCGTCCTGCTTCGATGTGCCAAGAGAGGCAAAGACGGGCCTCCCTGCAAGTGAGATGTAGGGAAGGCCCTGACGCCAGGATTGACCTGTATCACTACACGGCACTCCAGGCTCTATCTAAAACTGACTTTCCAGCAGATATTGTTTGTTCAAGATGTCTCAAGACATAATATTTGAGCCAGGACCAATATAGGGTTGCAGTTATCAAGAGTGGCTGTGGAACAATGTGCATCGCTCGACGTCATGCAGGTCAACCATGCGCCGGACCATGCAGGTAATTAGAGGTGGTTCATCTCTGCGTAATCGTTCGAAGAAACTCCGAGATGCGGAGCTCGTTGGTCGACTTGTCGACATGACACACCTGAAGAGGTCTGGGAGGTCTGGGGGTATTCTGAGTCTGTGGGTATTCTGGAAGGCCCGCGTCTCGGATTCCCCCACAGGGGTTTGGCTTCGATTTACACGTTCAAATCGCATTCCAAGGACAGGCAGCCGCAGTTCTGACTCGACGAGTCAACTCATGAGAACCTTTCTTTTTTTTTGACCAAGCATCATTCAGGGATGCTGGGTTCATGGAAGTCCCTGCAGTATACCTTACTTTTCCAGGTTTTCAGGGTTCACACCTTTGTTGGCACTGCACCTGAACGATAGACAACAGTTGACCTGGCATCGATGTTGGAGCGGCATCCATGTGTGGCTGGTCAGGTCTACAGTCTACTCAATCCAAGTCACACCACACCCTACGATTGGATGAAGGAGTGAACCTGGTTTTACTGGACGAAGCATCTTACAGGTTCACATCATACTCGTCCTAAACGGAGGTTCCTAAGGACGAGTTGAGGTGGGTCCGGTCCGGTCCACATCTGGTTTTTGAGCTTTCGATCTTCTTTTCAACGAGTGCGGACTCAGCCTGGAGCGGCGAGCTCGCCTGCGCCGCCTGCGGTTCGCCGAAGTCGTGGATCTTCCGGAGCCGGTGCGGTGGCCGAGAGTCTTGCGAAGTGACTTTTTCAACTCCAGGGCCCCAGGGCCTCATACTGGAAACCAAGATTCCCAGACACGACTTGCCTGGGGACGAACTGTTTATATGCAAGTATGCATAGTAGTTGACCCCCTGGCACCACCCAAATGGAGGCAAATATGGCAATTTTATGGAGTGTTTGGGGTTTACAGTCGTCTATAAACGTTTATAGTCTTTCTATCAAGGCCAAAGAAGAAACACCCATCCAGTGGACTGGAATATATGCCTAATGACCCCTGCAATCACCCCAATCTATATTGCAGCCTGATAAGGCCTTGTAAACTAGAAGACCCCAGTCAGGATCAGAAAACTCCATCTAAAAAATAACGCAGCAAAACTACATGTGACATTACAATACTGGTAGTGGAAGTTCCTTGATACCAGAATGCAACAGTGATCTTTTTGATCCCCACACCCCACCCCAAACAATCCCTTGCTTGGATAATTTAACAGATGAATACTCCTGGAATAGGCCAACTTGGTTATGCTTCCACATAATTCCACATTCTTCAGATTCCTCATAAACGACTGGCATTGATGGTCGGCCGACTGCTGAGAAGATCGCGGTGTCAAACAGAAGAGAAGATCGCGGCGTTTTGCCAATACACAGATTAGAACTGGCGTCCCATTCCCAGACGCTCCATGGCACTGCCATATTTGTCTAATTACATTGGGGTGGTGCCAGGGGGGTCAATGTATATATTCCAGTCCCAGACAGGTCGTGTCTGGGAGGTTTCAGATTCAATCCACGTCGGGTAGAGACTGTAGAGCTGCTTGACACCGCGTGATGTCACGCAGGTCAAGCAGGTAACGATTGGTGTCAGCTCGGGTGGAGCCCCTACCTTTAACAGTCGGTATTATAGGTCTTATCATCTTATCACTTGTCACTAGTTGGGAGATGTCGGCCCGCAACCTTTTCCCATCCACTGATACTGGCCATGGTAATGGAATAGACCCAAAGTAAAGAGTGAGTGCCCTCTCAACTATTTGTTAGCATAGTAGTACCTGAGTTAGTACCTGATATTTCTAAGTTTTGGGGTCAGCAACGATCACTTGTGCAGGCTAAAGGCAGCTTCGGGCCCTTCGAAAGCCCGCGCAACTGTGCAGTCTTCAAGTGGACGGCACGTTCCAGAATGGCTCCAAAGTTTGCATGTTTCGCTGAGTCTGAGACTGTCATGGAGAGAGACCATTGGCCTTCGAGTTCTTCCAGGGTGTCCGTATGGTCCCACGGTGGATTGGGATGAAAGGGTCACCCCCCCGGTACAAGCATCACTGCTTAGATACAAAATGATACAAGACTACGGGGGATCTTCTGGTAATCCGGGAGGAGGGAGGAATACGAAATCGTACAGGGGGAAGGTCGTTCTGATTGAAACAAAAGCCTGGGAGAGTTGATTGTGTAAGCTTGTTATGTTTGTTGACTACATATGTATCACAGATTGAAGAGTGTCCCTGTCCCAAAACATATCCCAAGCCATGAATGTATATAATGGGTTCCTGTTGCCATACGGATATTTAAGAACCAATGGAACCAAGAAAAAGATATTGAAGACTTCTAATCAACATGTTGTGTGGATGGAGTTTTTCAAAGGAATGGGACAACAAAGCGCCATTCAGTCACATGAACAGAACGTTTACTTGGCCCCGTCTTGTGGAGGTATGGGCCAGTCCGGTGTCCAATGGAAGTGACCCCTCCAAGTGCCGGAAAGACCGAAGACCTACAGTAAGACCGCACAAAACACCGGGGGTCTTCTGCACGGTTCTTGTTCAACCAGCTGGGCTGGGTGGGTTTACTCTCCCCGTGGCGACTGGGTGACTCACTCCGCACGGTACAGCGACACGTCACCAAGACGGAGGGCACGAACTCGTCCGGGAACATGGTGAACGTGTCGAGCTAGGTGCAGCGCTGGCGCGCCAGAGAGCGGCAGAGACGAAGCCTAGAGGGGAGCGGATCGGAGCTCATTTGACTGGAGTTGATCACAACCAAGAAACTAGTCTTATTGAGGTTTTCTTTGGACTGGATTTTACATTCTGGGTCAGACTGGACGGCTAAGAAATTGAGGAAGATCCGGGATGGACCTTCCTCTCGATTTGATGATGTTGATGGCTGTGAAAGCAGATCTACTTGTGAAAGCCTCATGTCTTCTTTCGGACCAGCGACACGTCTGCTCGGCTTTTTGTGCACTGGATTCTCCAGGGGTTTGCAAAAGCTTCCAAACCGAACTGAGCCCTCGAAGAAACCGAAGACCTGAACCTTTCCAGTTTGGTCCGGAGTTGTCGAACTTGGAACACTTCCACAACTCCTGGAACCGACCTTTAGCCCATTTTAGCCCCCTTGGTTCATTGGTTCATAAGGGATTTATTTACTACTAAAAGAAGATCTAAGGACTGGCGCAAGAACTCCAGCCTGCCTGGCGAAAGATCTCGCGTGCCAGAAGAAGCCTCGATGCGAGCTGCCTCGGGCGCACCAAAGCAGGCAGCCTCCCGAGGCTGATGAAAAAGGGCCAAAATGCCACGTGTGGTGGCGAGGTGAAAGTGGAGCGAGAGGTAGACAATTTGACATACAGATGTCATGTGGGTAGTCGGGATCTGCTGTGGGCTTGAACCTTTCGTATCTCTCAAGATGCCCTAAGACTTGTTGTTTTGTGCAAAAGCAAGATGGCAATGCGCATGAAGTTGCATGATAGATGCTTCACCTAGCAAATGACTTCCATCGCTGGCCCCCGAGTTCACACGTGGTCGATTCCACAAAAAGCGAGCACGACCTCGCATACGGTGTGTGACGGGGGGAATGGGTTTATAGATGCAGATGAGTATCGATGTACTCATGCAGTCACTCAGTCAGTCAGTCCGTAGAAAGATGTAGAAGTGAAGACCAACGGACCAAAAGGAAAAGAATTGACACATGGATCATCCAACAGGTCACCAATAGACGTCTACCCTACCTTATGGACCTCCAGACAGGACAACCATTGGATGATCCTGGAAAGAGGTTGAAAGGGATTTGTTCAAGGGTCGGCGTGCCGTGCTGTCTTTTTCAGGCTGTGTGAAGTACCTGTGAAGTCCGGCGCACTACAGCCATTCATCCTTATACAGCCTATATGCATATAGTAACATTACCGAAGAAGTGCAACAGTCGAGGGCCCTGATCTGAACATTTTGGAACTTTTGAGTTCAGATCTATACCAGAGCCCCCTAACGGGTGGTTGACAGATACCGCTTAACCTCTAAGGAGCTATGATTAGACACCCCTTAGGGCCCTGGTATGCTTCTTTTTGGACCATCCTTGGGCGGATTCTGTTCCTTTGGCCCGTTCTTGTTGAAAGGTCAATCTGTCCGTTCGACCCAGGGTCGATCTCACTAATGTTGGGGTCTTCCGATTTCAAGACCATTTTTGTCCGTACCTAGCGCAGTCCATGCTGTTTTTGACCCCAAGGCTGAATGCTCCTTTTGTTCCTATTCAAGAGGCTTTCAGCAACTGATGGTACAGCTGACAGCTTGGTGCTCAAAACCTGGTTCTGAGCGAAAATGAACAGGGACGAAGCAAGTGACATAAGCACAATGAGCGCACCTGAGGCTTGGGCCAAACTTGGTACCCACCCTAGGGCTCCTGGCCTACCTCCTGACAAGATGGTTGGGGTGGGTGCCAGGGGGGTCTAACCACCTTTTGAGGATATGGTTGGAGGCCTAGGGGGCAAGGATTAACGAAACAGTTCAACACTCATAAACCATCGAGTTATCCCGTGATCTATTCTCGTGGTATATGAGCTATAGCTCTGTTCAACAATTGTAAACCACCGGAAACGTCTGAAGGCATGGTCTGAAGCATAGATGGCCTTTTACTATTAGTTGCTTGATTGATAGAGAGGATACCCTCAAGTCTACAACCAATAGGTCAATGGTACCTGGCACCGACCCATCTATTCTTCCCAAGTACGGACACCACTGGAGTCTGAAGGCAGCAACATCTGACACCCGTTTCAAGGGTTGGTTGGCGATGTTGGCCAAACCCTCGAACCAGGGCCATCAAGCCGGGTTCGCCAGCCGGGTTCAATGGTGGGAGTCGGTTTTGACTCTTTTGGCTCATGCAATGTGACAGGCGTACTGGACAGGCGTGAGCAACAAGCCACAAAGGAAAGACACACTGCCTGACATTAGAACATCAAAAATGAATCCCCAGGCTTCACCAAGGCCGCACACGACGTCAACAACATCCTCAGATTTGTTTTCTGAATCCGGGCTATCCAGTGTATGCGCCGTGAGACGTGTTGCACGGAACTTCATGTTGCAGACACAAACCACACCCTAGCTTTCCAACCACCCTTTTTGTTTTAAGGATTTTGCACCGTACACAACCAGGTCGTTCCAATTGTTACATGGTTTGAGAAGCCGAACGGGCACACACAGGTCTACCCAGGTCGGCAGAATGGATCAGACGGCATCGGCATCGGTGCAATTGGGGGCTCCAGCTTCAACGACCGGTGTTCAAACCCGAAGGTGTTTGCGACGTCGCCCTTCGCGTCGCCGGTGTCGACTCACCCAGTCTCAAACTCGACACTGGAGTGTGACAGGTACCGAGCAGCAGCGTTTGGGTGTTGTTTTCCAAGCTCACCAGGTGCGCTCCTCGGGATGTGTTTCAGATATATCATAACAGCCCACCTAGTCCGCTTTCTTCCAGAGGATCAGCCCAGCCGATTCTCCACGTGTTGGTTTCAACCACGCCGGGCGCGATCCGGGCCGCCATGGGAAACTATGACTTCTATACGCTTGCAGTGTGCACCTGGCGCAGAACTTTGATACGAAACAAACTGGTGCAGCTGCGGTGGACAAAACTTGGACCGACCACTGACAGAAGTTTGAGCTGAAACGGACTCTAGCACATCTATAACCTGGGAAACATATCACCAGCGGAGCTGTGTGGGCTTTTAACTTCTTGTGGTCTACTTTGTACTGTGGCACATGAATGGTCGTCTCAGAACTGGTAATCAGCTGCCTTACTACGAGGAACAAGAAGCTATTAGGGGCTCCTGGCATCGCTATTAGTAGCAAGGACGCTACTAGTAACTCTTGGCCTTACTATATACTGGGAACAAGAAGCTACTAGTAAAGGTCTTCGGCGGGCCACTCCACCCCCAAGCGGAAGGTCTTTGGCCGATCTGACCGGTGTTCCACAGTGTTCCTGTTGGGGTCTTTCACCAGCACCATGTAGGGCATGTTCAGTGGCATGTTCCTTGGAGACGACAGGGTGCTGGTGCTGGAGAACCACTTCAACTCCCTGACGATCGGAGGTCCAAACCTGCACCCCCCACGACTCGAAATGCTGCGACCATGTCATTGTGGACCGGAACCAACTGCTACATGGTGGTGCCAACATGAAGGGTCCCAATTTTTCACGACCCGTCTGGGGGACTGCCATATTTGCATACATTGGGGGTGGTTTTCAAGGGTCAATCAAGGCATATTGAATCATATTAACATGTTCATAATATATATATATATATTCCATACGTGGAGTGTATGGGAGAATCATTTCTTGCGTGGAGCTCACTGACTGATTGTGACCGGTCGCCTGAAACTCAAGTGCCAAGTCAATTTCTCAGATTTGTTGCCTGTTTGGTGCGTCCCTTTTTCTTTTCTTTTCTGGGCATGAACGGTCAAAGCCTGTCACTAAAATTTAGAAAGGAAGTTGGCCCCCCTCAAAGCAAAGGACGTAAAGGTTAAAGCCACAAATCAAAGCCACAGGGGTCTCCCTCTTCCAAGACACACATCCCATCACATCTCTTTCCGCAGCCAGGAGTCTGATGATCTTAGCTCTGCAGATTCACAACCCCTTTCTGGACCGCAGGCGCGGGTGATTTTTGCACAGCTTGCAGGAAGAGCTGTGAAAAGACTCAACGAAGCAAGACTCGGACGGGGCTGAACCAGGAGGCTGGACTTTTTGGGAATCTGAACGGATGCAGGGTCTATATAAGCATGCCAATGTGGGCGACCAAGGACTCGACGATCACGTTCTTCTGTTGTTGTATTTGTTTGTGTTGTTTTAGATCTTTTTCCTGGTCCAGTGATGGCTTTATTCCTTTTCTTCAGTGAGCACTCGAATGGAATGCTATTTGTGTGATAGTGTGGGTGTCGTGTGGGAGTGGGAGTTTAATGATCAGATTCATAATTAAGTTGAAAGGTATACCCTATATATGGTGAAAACCTTGCAGAATGTCAGGTCAGGATGAAATACCATTTGAAACTGCACTAATCCTCCTTTTGATTTGAAGACCAAGGAGTTGAAATCTGTTGTGTGGAGACTGTGTGGTCATGGGAGCGGATGTGTTATTTCATGTTATTTCCACAGGGCCTGGTGAAACAGTGAACTTCCCCTCGAAACCGAGCGCCTCCCGTGAGTTTCCAACCAGCGGCGGCACTTCTCCGTGTTTTGGGAGGTTTCATATCTCAACAGAAGTTGCCTTGATCACGAAAGGTAGCTTGAGCTATACGCAGGGTTACTTGTGATGGCCTGCGTTCACCCCCTCGTTCACCCCCTCCTCTCTCAAGTTTGATTTGTTTTTCGTTTGGAGATGCTATTCGTTTTGGCAAGCAGTCACTTCGTTTTGCATAGCTCCTCGGCCCGGTTATCGCATCGCCAGTTGCCGGGAGTCAGCGGGACCACCGGTGAGGCGGGCGCGGACCGCACCGGGGGGGGTGGGCAGGGTCATGTGGGGGGTCGGTCTAGAGGTGAAAGAGGTGAAGTCAACAGGTGATGCCAGGAATTCTCAGCTTTTCAGACCCAAACCAGTAGAATGGGCACGTGGCATGGCACATCATGGCACAGGCATGTTGGAGCAAGAGCTGTCATTTCTAGCTGCTTTGGGGAGCAAAAACTCCTGTTGCTTCCTTTGAAGTCTTCATCAAGCTGTCTGTCATTTCTCACTGGTTTTGGTCCAAATCATGTTTTTTTTGCGATCTTGAAGTGACTGCCTCACACGTTCCTCCTCTCGTGTCGATCCGTCAAAGCCTACCGAAAAGTGGACTTTCTGGACCACCGAATCCGAGGCGTTCCGCAGGACTGGTGGGGGGCAGCTGGCCGATGTGGGCCCAGTTGAAAAGAATCCCTACATATCCCTACATATAGCTTTCCAAAAGCATTGTTCTAATTGACCTGGTTTTGTAGTGCAAGATCATGTAAGACCCTGATACGCCTTAACAAAACAAGGGCTGTTCGGGGATGACCCGGCTCACCAGTGGTGGGCCAGAACTCTGGCCTCGGTTTCTTCCACTCAGGGAGTCTCGTCCCACACACCGACACACACCAGCGACACCGACATGGGACTGGCAAAAATTGGACTCCAGGTCCAGGGAGGATTGATTGACAGATCATTTTTTGGTAGTGAAGCACTATCAGATATGATCCTCATTGATCATTTGAGATCATCCATATTCAATCCCAAAGATTTCAAACGATCCAAGAGTAAACTATATATGGACAAGTAAACTATATAGTATATCGATCTATGATATATTTCAATAGTAAATTGGGTTCCCCCCAAGAAAAGCTTGGGGGAACCTTCTCCTTCTTCTTCGCTCCGCTCCGAATCGGATGCCGATCGGATGAGGTCGGAGGCCAAGTCCAGTTCCCGCGGCGACCGAGGCGGGGCCGAGGTGATGTTCTTCAAGTTGTTTTGATGGTTTGGGGGGGGCGAACGACATGGGGCGAACGACATGGGGCGAAAGAAGGGTCCAAGGGTTCTTAGTTTTTGTTGGCAAATGCCGATCGGTGAACGGTTGGAATGGCCATTTGTGTTGGTGGTTCATTGAGTTCCGTCTACCACTGCAACCTGCCATGCTCCTCAGCCCATGCAACCCTGACTCACAGGTGAGGCGGCGCAGCCGTACCGGCGACGGGAGGCCGCGTGAGACATACCGCGACGAGTGGATGGGTTCCAGCTGATAAGGGACACCCAGTGGCTGATCGCTCTCGGCCGACCATTCCTAAGTCGATGGTGAGATCGGGGGGGGTAGATCGGCTACTTTTCACTTTGGAAGTCATGGGTATTTTTGAGAGAAAATGTGTGAACATGTTTGACAACAGTTTTGTAAAATCTTCGTGTATATATCTTGTATATCAAGTGTTTTGAGCCGCTCATTGTGCGATGTGACCTGCACTCAAAAAACTTACGTAGAACTTCCTTTGTCCAGCTGATCTTGCGGATTGTATGTTCCCAGGCTGCACACTGGTTCAACAAATGTGTTGCCTTGCTACTTGTGCTGGCGCTTAAGTCTTGGCTCTTTGCTTGGCAACTCGAATAGGGCGAGGCAGTCAAGGACGCCATAGATCTGCAACACGCGCTGTGGCTCTGGCCTTTGTATTTTTTGGAGTGCATCTTTTATACTTGCCGAGCTACAAGCTTTGAGGTTTGTGCCGGAAGTTTCCCTTTCCAACCGGTCACACATCGGATACTCTTCCCTTTGCCCTGCCCAACAACTTCACTTCGAGTGATCACAACCATGACAGTTCAATCTGACAATATTTCAATATTTTGGAATTCTTTCTGGCATATCTTCTGACATTCTTTCTTGCAAGTCTTCTGACATTATTTCTGCGTATCATTAGCAATTCCTTCTGAGTTCTTTTTTTTTGCATATCTTCTGACATTATTTCTGACATTCTTTTCTGCCATATCTTTTGACACTACTTCTGACATTCTTTCTGCTTCTGACATTCTTTCTGGCATATCTGTTGACATTCTGTTTGACATTGATTTTGGCATATCTTTGGACTTTCTTTCTGACATCCTTTCTGGCATTTTTTCTGGCATATCTTCTGACATTTTCCTGGCATATCTCCTGACATGTTTCTGGCATATCTTCTGACATTATGTCTTGCATTTCTGTTGACATTCTTTCTGAGATTCTTCCTGCATATCATTAGCCAGTGTTTCTGACTTTTTTCTGACATATCTTCTGACAGTATTCCTGGCATATCTTCTGACATTCTTTCTGGCATATTTGTTGACATTCTGTTTGGCAGTGGTTTTTTGCATACCTTTGCACTTTCTGTCTGACATTATTTCCGGCACTCTTTCTGGCATACCTTCTGACATTTTCTGGCATATCTTCTGACATTAGTTTTGGCATATCTTGTGGCACTCTGTCTGACATTTTCTGGCATATCTTTTGACATTCTGGCATTCTTTCTGGCATATCTTCTGGCATGTTTTATAGCATATTCTTGCATTATTTCTGGCTTGTTTTTTGACATTCTGTTTGGCATTCTTTCTGCATATCATTAGACATTATTTCTGCCTTTTTTCTGCCATATCTTCTGACATTATTTCTGACATTCTTTTCTGGCATATCTTCGGACATGTCTTCTGACACAATTTCGATCATTCTTTCTGACATATTTTCTGACATTCTTTTGGCATGTCGTTTGACAGTCATTCTTCGTGGCATATCTTGTGACATTCTTTCTGACATTATCTCTGGCATATCCTTTGACATTCTTTCTGTCATATCTTCTGACACTTTTTCTTTGCTTTGTGTAGCCTCCATGATGATGTCACCTGGAGCCAAAAGATTCAACTCAAACCTTTTTGGACATATTTGGGAGAATGCTTGACGGATGTTTTCTGTTTAGGCTGCTTTTAGGCACATGTTGGTTCTGAGCAAGTGCATCTAAGTTGGTTGGCCAGCATGGTGACATCATCCATGACAACTTGACAGCCTACTTCTGGGGCCCAGGCCACGCACGCGGTCAAAGATAGGAACAAGGAGAGATATATGCTTTTGGAGGTTTGGCCCGCGAGTTTGCTCCTGAGTTTGAAACAAGAAGTGGTTCCACATGACTCCGTGCTATGCCAGGTGTCTTACTCCTGATTTCTTGAAGGAGGCGTCCCTGCGGAACAGCAAGACTGTCCGTGACTTCACTGAGGCTTGGCTCGCTTGGAGCTGGAATGGTTCCAAGGATTATGATGAGGCACCTTTCTTTGTGGGGCTGGTCCTTCCGTTGGTGATGCGGTGGCTTGGAGTTGCAGCCCGACATCCACCACCTACTTCCAAACTGCGGCCACAACTCCCACGACATCTCCACGGTCTACCCCGCAGGCGTATCGAGCGCGGAGCGTGGGATCCATCCCGCGAGCAAATCGAAGATTCTGCAGCACGTCAATGCCGAGCGGGACGCCACAACCACCGGCCATGGAGCTCTCTCCACTTAGCTTGCTACTGAGCCGCATCACTGGTCTCACTGCTGAGCAGCGCAGCTTCTACCTGCAGCTTATCAGCCTGCTGCCTTATGTGGAACACCGCCTTGCCGGTGGCAGGACCATCTATGTCGTCCGCAGTTGGAAGTCGCTTAGGACTATGCCTTCCGACACTGTGTGTGTGGGCAGCTCGACCCAGTAGCATTGTCCTCAAAGACCATACAGGTTTCCCGAAAAGGTTTCACAAGGTGTGGGGGGCAGATCCAGAAAAAGACCCACGACAGTCTTCGATCCCTGGCGCGCGCAAGTCTTGGATCTTCATGGCTGGGAAAGGTTGCATACCAGTAGTTGGATCTCTTCTCAACTTGTCAGAGAAAAGGGGTCCAAGCTCAACACGCGAACCCTGGTGTTGAGCTTGATTCCCCACCTTTCAGGTGAGGGTTGTTAGATTTTACGTCAGCCCCATCTCCTCCTCCTCCGCCTCCGCCTCCTCCGCCGCCTCGTCGTCCTCCGCCTCCTCCGCCGGACCTCACAATCAACCGCGACCATCCACGCCCAGTGTTCCCTGCCGGACCTCGACCGCGAGCTCCAGACCCAAGTGTTCCCCACCGGACCTCAACCGCGACCATCCACGCCCAGTGTTCCGTGCCGGACCTCAACCGCGACCGTCCGGGTCCGCGCCCAGTGTTCCCTGCCGGACCTCAACCGCGAGCTCCAGACCCAAGTGTTCCCCACCAGACCTCACCGCGACCATCCGCGCCCAGTGTTCCCTGCCAGACCTCAACCGCAAGCTCCAAGTGTTCCCTGCCGGACCTCAACCACAGCACACAACCACAACCACAATCACAAACACACAACCAGGACGCAGCAGCAGCAGCAGCAGCAGCACGCATCAAAGAGCAGCAGCAGCAGCAGCAGGACTGGCAGCGACAGCAGCAGGCATGGCAGGAGCACCAGGCATGCTTGCAACAGTGGCAACAGTGGCAGCAGCGGCCGGTGCCGAAGGCTCGACGGGCGCCGCCAGATCACAACGACAATTTGGACGTCGGGGGGTCTCAGCGTCAACAACTCACAATAATAATCTTCGGCGCCGGGATGGCCAGCGTCAATTGATGTCAATTGTGGACATGTACTTTACAGCATGAGGAACTTGCAACGAAGCAGCGCGAGGCATTGGAGGCCGGGAAACTTAGAATGAGTTTGGAGAACCCAAAGATTGTCTCCCTACATTCCCTACATACAATTTGTCAGGCCCAGCGCCAGAAGCTCTGGAATAAGAGCGAGGAAGCAAACACAACCACAAACACGCAACCACAAACACACAACCACAAACACACAACCACAACCACACAACCACAAACACACAACCACAAACACACAACCACAAACATACAACCACAAACACACAACCACAAACACAACAACAAACACACAACCACAAACACACAACCACCAATACACAACCACAAACACACAACCACAAACACAACAACTACAAACACAACAACCACAAACACACAACCACGAACACAAACACAAAAACAATCACAACAACAAACACACGCCACAAACACAACCACAAACACAACAACACAAAACCACAAACGCAACACCACAAACACACAACCACAAACACACAAACACAAACACACAACCACAAACACACACCCACA